AGACTAGCATAGCTAAGACGGAATTCGATATTGTGAAACCAAACTTGGTATAAGATCTCCCAGGCACTGCTAAACTGGTCATCACTAAACAAACAAACAAACAAACAAAAACCCGTATTCGCTGGTACCCAGATTTCTACAGGACTTAAACATCTCTTCTGCAGTGAAAGCAGGTCTTACTAGCAGGAAACCAGAACTTGCCAGGACTAAGAAACTTGAGCTGGGCTGACTCCATAGTTGTTATGATTGATTAGAAATTCGAGGGTACAGGAAACCCGGAACTGCTGAGAAGTGAGTCACAGGGTAACTTCGACTTGCTACAGCGAAACAGTGACTTTCTACGACCTAGAAATCGCAGCCAGGGCTAGACCGGTGTTTGTCGTAAGTCAGGACTTTCTTGGTCTGAGAAATCACATTGTGGCTATTCCCCTCCTTGGACAGGGGGTAGATATTGCAGGCACCGCGAAATAGAAACTTGGTAAGGCCAAGAAGCCAACGACGCGCGAAGCCGCGGGCTCCTGCTACAGAGACGGTAGCTGCGCCGCCGCCACAGGACTGTCACTGGCTCCGAAGAGCTGCAGGATCAGCCCGCCCAGCGCCAAGGCCGCCTGGGAACTCCAGGCTCCGAGCAACTCGGGAAGCTGCGACTTTGAATCTCTCAGATTTGCAGCCAAAGGGAAATGGAAGCGCGGAGCAGCTAAAGAGAGACCTCGGCTGGGTACTTGGAGCCTGTGAGTGACGGCAGGCAGCCGCCGGGGTTGTCAAGGACAACATTCGCTTTGGCCCAACCAGCTGTGCTGTCACCAAGAGACCGTCGACTCCGAGGAAAAAAAAGAGAAGTTCGGCCTTCGAGAAACCGTGCAACAAGTGCTGTGACAGCGAAACAGCCGGCTTCGCGCCGCGGGCAAAAGAGTCACAGGGGACGCCGGGTGCTGCGACCGTGACGCCGGCACTAGAGGGCCTCGGATGGAGAAAGAGACGCGCGGAGGCCAGGGAACTGCCCAGCACAGCTAGCAGCTGACACAAGCAGAAAAGTGTCTGGTCGGCTCTCTGGGAGAAAGTGCCGACCAAAACCAGCAACTCGGTGCAGGAAACCGTGCAGCCACTGAAGACCGTTATCCACCGTGGTGCCAGAGAAACACCGCGATTTCTACGACAACCGTGGGGAAACCACAGAGAAACACGCGCTGCTGCTGAAGTACATCCAGCTCCGCGCAACCAGTGGTTCTGCGGTCCACAAACCGCCAGCCGGGCTCGACTAGAAACTTCTCGGAAAAACTGTCATCCCACAGCAGCTTTCCAACCCACGACAGACAAATGACGCCTTTATGAAGCAGCTAACCGTGCTGAGACTGGCCTGGGGCAGCACAAAGAGGCGAACGGTGCGGGTACCGAGAAACGCCAGACTCGGTAAAACCAACCTTGCAGCCACAGAATCCACCGGCTTCGCAGGACGCAACAGGCGAAGGTGCGGCGGAGAAACCGCAAGCTCGGTTCACCGATTACGCTGAGGGAGAGCGAGGGAACGGAGTGAGGGGGAAAAACGCAAAGTTGTGAAACCAGAGGCTCTAGGACCCAACGATCACCTACCCGCAGCAAATGCCTGTGCGGTTGCAAAAGACAACTTTTGGTGCCAGAAATGTTGCTGCCGGAGAGCGTCGGCTAACGTTGACAAAGGAGTGAGGTTGGTAGTGCGAAACAGTTGCTGGGAAAGGAGCGCTGCAGCGATGGGACAACTTTGGGCTCGGTGCCACCAAAGTGCTGCCTGCTCTACCCACTCTGTCCCCCATGGGCTTAGGGAAGTCCGTTGTCTCTTTCTTTTATAATTTTTTTTCTTTCCCCTTTGTCACCCAGGCTGGTGCAGTGGTGCCATCATGCCTCAGTGCAGCCTCTACTTCCTGGGATCTAGAGATCCTCTCGCCTCAGCCTCTTGAGTAGCTGAGACCACAGGGGCGCGTCACCACCCCCCCCCCGGCTTTTTTTTTTTTTTTTTTTTTTTTTTTTTTTTTTTTTGAGACAAGTGTCTCGCTATGTTGCCTAGGCTTGTCTCAAACTCCTGAGCTCAAGCGATTCGCCTACCTGGGCCTCCCAAAATGCTGGGATCACAGGCGTGACAGGAAGCCTGTATTGTTCTTGCATTCCACCCAGTGACTTGCAGGAGGAGAGGAGGCGGTTTAGGCGCTAAGAATCTAGCGGATCCGGCTGGTCCCAGGAACAAAGTAAAAATCATTCTAGTCGCCAACAGGTTCCTACGCAGGAAACAGCCATCCAACCTCCGTGACTGGACTCTTCCGGACCACCACTTGTTCCCAGGCTCTCCTCCCCGTCCAGAGTCATCAGGATCCTACAGGAGGGGCTGACAACTGCTTGCCCTCGAAACTTGAAATTCTCGGTTTAAGGATCCGAGAGGAGACTGAAAGGCACTGCGTTTTCTGACGGCAGCTTCAGACCTCCCTCGCCGGTCCCGGTACCTCCCCTGCGGGATGGAACTCTGTGGGAACCGCTTGTTGATTCTGATGGTTAACTGTCAGATGTCCGTGATATTGGGGACAGGAGTTGGAAGAGGGCAGGAGAGAAAAACGGACTGCAAGACTCCAGCACAGGAGGTGAGACTGATGGCAAACGTCCGTTCCCTCTCCAAGCCCAATTAACATCTCATCTCAAGCTGCCATCCACTTTCCTATACCCTTGATCTGTGAAGTGGATCACTGACGTTTTCTCTGTCTTTAGGGAAATGCAAAGCAGGCGAATTTTCAAGCGCTTGAATTCAATCTCACACTTTTCAGTCCAAGTGGGGTTATAAACTCCTTCCTCATAGGAAATAACGGCCAGTGCCTGGAAGAAAAACGTCTTTTTCCCATAAGCTTTCACATTTTTCCAGGAGCATTCCCACTCAAACTCATCATCTCCCAGCTGCACGCTGGAGATGCTATGCAACCAATTCCATCCTTTTCTAGATGATCCTGGGTGGAGGACAGGTCCAGGGAGCCTAGAGAAGGGCCTTGACAAGTCAGGAGACCCAATTTAGGGTCGCAATTCTCACCCACTCACAAGGCCTATGCCTTGATCTTCCCCTCCCACCATACAATGTCTTCTGCTAGCCAGTCTATCCCTGGTATTTGAGGATCCTCCAACTGCCTCCTGGTCTTTAGGATGGAAGAATAAAGGGAAGATGGCATAGTTTCCACCTAAAAAGTTACAACCACTTCACCAGAAGGAACAGCTCAGGCAGAGCCTTCTTAAAACAAATGCCTGCCCACTGCTTCGGGGTCCTCATTTCCACCCCAGCAGAGCATTTTATGGGAAAAGCTGTAATCCCAGCATTTGGGAAGGCTGAGGTGGGAGGATCCCTTTAGCCCACAGGTTCAAGACCAACCTAACCACAAAGTGAGACCCCACCTCTAGCTGAGATGTGGTCGTGCCTGTAGTCCCAGCTACTCTGGATACTGAAGTGGGAGGATCTCTTGAGCCCA